TCGAAAGATCTTCTGAGGATCCATCATCCACCTGGGAGGGTGGGCGGGAAATCTTGAGCAACATTCAGTTGCGCGAAAGCTTCAAGTCGTGAGATACTTGACATCTCACTCATTTCGCCTGCTTGCTGAACGAAGGCTCCCAGGCCGCAGCACGAGTCTCGAAGGCCTGCGGCAAAAGGGGATCAGGAGGAGCTTAGCTACCCCATCACCCTGAGACCCTTTGGGCCTCGAAATGGTCTTTCGAAAGATCTTCTGAGGATCCATCCGCCTCTGTGTTAGTGCGTAGCATTTGAAAAACTTGCCACGAGCGCGTCCGAAGCTGCGTCCAGAACCTTAATGCGAGCGCGAGTGCTCTCTGGAAGTCCAAGGAAAAGAACCTGCGCTGCAACTTCCTGCAAATAATACTCTAAGGTCTTCGTGCGTGCCCACCGACCACGCCAAGCCAAAAGAGGTATGTTCTCCATGCAAATGTAGAAATGCGCTGCACCAGATCCGCGAAGGACCCCGGGTGTTGCGCCTCGTTGCGCAGCACGGCATGGGAGGCCGAGTTTGCTGAGCACAGCATCCCACTGCCGGCGAAAGCTGTGCAAAGACGCGGGGTACAACTTCTCGTCCAGCGCAAGGCTCCCAAAAAGGTTCTGCAGGAAAACGATGACTAAGCCGTCATCGACGCGCCCATGCTGGCGCCGAGCGAACCTTGAAGTCTTAGGGTTCTTCAGGTGCACGAACAGAGAGCTAGTGTGCCCGAGCGTAAGGGCCAAACCAATGGCCGCGCGCACCGCCGCCACTGGAAGCACTGGACGGCAGCTCCCAGGCTCTGCACGCTGCCACTTCTTGTCAACCTGCCAAGCCTCAGTCAAGAAGTTCCGGTGAGCTGGAAACTTATCCTGCACTGCCGTGATGGCGTAGACGAACAGGTACCTCGGGAAGCCGTTCTCGTAAAGGTGAAGCCCAAACGCTCGCAGAGCTGTGGCAGCGCTCGCACTAGTGGCGAAAAAAAAGCGAAACTCTTCTGCATCTTCTTGGCGGTGCTAGGCGCGAAGCCGGCCTCGAGATCTAGCGGACCTCGTCGGACCGGAGCTTGGGGTCCTGGGTTCCGCTCTATGTCGCCTCCGAGTAGCAAAAGGAAACGAAGCCATCTAGCTGGGATCTTCTTGATCCGAGCCGAAAGCACAACCTTGTCGAAGGCCCTCGCGTCACCGGCCAGCAGAGAACGAATCCACGCTGACGGTTCTCTGGAAGGAGGCGCAACAGCCGAACCTCGGGAAGGGTTATCGGCTACATTATCTCCGGAGTAGCAGTGGAGAAGGCTAGTATACAGGGAAGACCCCAAAACATAACCTAAACACCCTTGCAGAACCCTACTAATGGCATAACTGCTTGATCGACCTTTGGCGGCTGCGCCAATGGTCACACGGGAGTCAAGCAAACCTACGGCCCTAAGGTGGGAACCCCTACGCGCAAGGGACTTAACCCAACTCTTATACACCCTAGATTCATTGACATTTATGTGACCAGGCTTCTTGAAGTTATACCTGAAAAGTTCTCTAAAGGGCAGGCTGCAGCAAAGCTCGCTGATCCACTCTGGATCCTCGAACCACTCTCGCTCAGCTCTCCAAACCAGCTTCGACTAAGGGCGCCAACTGAAGCGAGTCTAGCTCCAGCCATCGAACAGTTCTCTCGCGTGCAGAGGCAGGCATTGGAACTACGTGGCCGCGGGACGCAGCTAGCGAGCCGCTCGCCATCATCCTGGCAAGACGCAGGGGGTAGGCCCCACTGAAGTCTGCCACCGACTGACCCAGCTCCGGCTCGATGCCGTAAACGGCTCTGACAGAAGGCCGAGCCAAGGCACTAAACTCAGCCAAACGCTCCGCAGTGAAAGTGCCACGAACTTCAAAATGCTTTCCTTTTCGGCTGCAGCTGCAGCCACTTTCCAGGCGGCACAGCCACGGTTTGTTGTGGAGCCAACGGGACCTCTTCAGGAAAGGAGATCCGTAGTGGCAGAAACAGAAAGTGCTGACCACGCAGCCCATAGTCACCAGCAAGCGGTAGCAACGCAGATGGTACAGCGCCGTCCCGGCGGGCTGTTCAACAGACACAAATTGGCCGCACTGGATCGCAATGCAGAAAACGAAAGTGACCAGGCGGGCCATGCTATTGCGCAGCTTTGTGAAGGAATCTTCTGGGTCAAAGCCGGAAGGCTGAGCTCGGCTTCTCACCCGAGGACGCCTCAGTGTCCCAAAGGACACGCAAGGCACTCCAGCGTGCCACTCTCTGACGACTCGACGCAGCGCAAGGCTCGCCAACTCATGGCGCACAGAGGGTTCAAGCACATCAGCACGCCGGCTGCCGGGACCCTTTATGTCAAACCCCACATGAACAACTAAACCTGCCTCGCTATGACAAACGCTCCAATTCCCCGTGCCTCGGAAAATCTCCACACAGTCAAAAAGGATGCCTTCCTTCAAAGGTTTGGGAACTGAAAAGGGCGGGTGCAGAACGGGCTTGAAAGGGTTAGGGACTGTCGAGTCTGCACCAAACTCATCGGCACCAAAATTTGGGATCCCTTTTTCAGAAAGAATGGAGGAAACCTCACTTTGCAGGCGTGTGTGGTAACCCCTCAATTCCCCGTGCCTCCACAACTCAAAAGCAGCAAACTCACCAACTTGAGCCGCACACACAGCCCCGCCATGAGGCGAAGCATCCATGCAGTACAAGGATGGGTCGTAGCTGGCCCTCAAGCCCGATTGCAGGCAACAACAGAGTTGCGCACAACATGAGCAGCTCATTACGGGATTGAAGGCTGAGCTTAAACACCTGATGGCGTGGTAAACCCCGACCCTCCCTGAACAGTGCATCAACAACTGCAAAAATAGGCCGTCGGAACATAATTGCGTGGACCCAACAACCTAGAAGCCTCTCAAGTAGCTCAACGGTCGCGGTTCCCCTCTCGGCCACAAGTGCAGTCAGCACAGCCAAAGACCAAACCCGAATTCTAGGCGCAGATACAATCCCCCTAACCCCGTCAAGTTCGGCTCCGAGCAGAACTCCCAAGGTTTTGAAGCGGCGCTTCTTGTCATCATTCAGCACAAGGCCGACTTGGCGATATGCTTTGGAGGCGTTGTCCATGATTTGGGTGTCTCGTGCAGGCATACGCTTGGAAAGATCCTCCGTCCTCACTTTCTGAATGCAAATGTGATCATCGATAGCGAGCAGCTCTACACACGCTGAACGGGGTACGGGTTGGCGATACAAAAGGATTTCTTCAGGTAGTAAGGCCCCCGCTAAATCTCGAAGAACCCCATAGTGTGCAGCTTGACCCACTTCAACCGCTAAGGAATCACCCATAGCAAGAGTATTAAGGGAGAGGAGTTGGGGACCATCCATGCGAAGCCCGGAAGCACACTGCAAATGAGCCAGCTCCGCTGGCTGAAATCGGCAACGAATTGAGTTTCTGATTGCACGGCTGGGGCTTATCCGAAAGGTATAATAATAGTCACTTAGATCATCCGCGGCATACCTGAAAGACATCCCCGGCTCCAGCCTGAGCAATGTCAAAAGAGACCCCGGCGCCAATGTGCGGGAGTAATGGGTGATGGTGTGGGATCTAGAGTTAGCAACGGTGGGGTTTACAATCAACCGATCATGAGCCGCACTCTTGCTGACACTGAAGAGCCCAACGCATTCATCCCAAGGTAACGCAGAAGCTGGAGTGATCTTGACAGCACCGAAGGCATCCCACTTGGAAGCCATGCGTAACAATTCTTGACGAGAGCAATGCACTTTGGCGGGCGCCCGGGCAGGCCACTGACTGCTGGCCTTGCGAAGCACTGCTGGCTCTTCATAGGCACTACGAAGCAATGGGTCAAGGAAGGGTTTCGGGTCAAAGGCTGGGGCGTATCGCCATTTAATCCTGTCAGCAACTACAGGCAAAGCAGCGCCGCTCCGAAAGTTGATGAAACGTGGCTCCGCATCATCCTCCGGCTGACTGGAAGCATGGCTGGGACGCTCCTTTGCAGAACCCCCCCTATACGGATGGAAAGAGGCATGCAACACGGAAGCCCACTCACTAAGGTCCTCACCCCTAAGCTTGTCAAAGGGTAGTTCCTGAAGTAGCTGGGCAACAGAATTAAACTTGTCCGCTGAGCGTCCCAAGTCGTCAGCCTCAAAGGATGACACGCTGAGGAAATGTGCAATCTGGGCCTCGAGGTTATCCAGAACTTTCTGTTGAGCAGCGGTCGTCCGTGCACCGATTCGGGCATGGGTAGGGGGATCCTTAGGGTACCCTAAACACTCCCAATTCAAGGCGCAGACTGCAACTTGGAGCAGCCGATTTTGCAACTCCAGCCGACGTTTGCGCCGGCGAGATAGACCGTCTCCGCGGGCGCATGCCGTCCAACACCACCGCGGTGGAGGGACAGGCCATAGGTCGGGACTCACATCACCAACCTCAACGGTGCAGGCGGGCTTACTAAGGGAAAGCTTAGCAAACCAGGAAAGGGCAGACCCTGAATTATAAAACGCATCAATCATACGGGAAGCCAGCTTTACAGGATTGATCGGAACTGTGCATTGAGGATCAAACCTGGGCAACCCTAAAGGGGGAGGCTCAAGGGAACTATCTCTAAGACCCCTAGGCCCCGACCCCGAAGTCATGCAGCAGGCGCTTCCCCGCCCTTTTGGCGCTTCGGGCGCCTTGGGCGACGCGGCTTCTCGGGCTCGGGCTGCTCCTGCTTCTCTTCTGAGCTGTTGGCTGAAGCCGGATTTTGGAACCAATCTGGGCCATCCGGTTCTCTGCATAATCGAGGTCCTTCAAATATGCAAGGTTTGCAGCTATCTAGTGGGGAGCACATAAGCGGCTGAACGGCTTCAACCCCGGAGCACGGCGAACTTGCCACATCTGAGGCGCCGGATCTGGATATCCGGACAGAAGCCAAGCCAGAGACAGGCGCCCATTGTCGAGAGCCGCCTGTTCCGTGAACATGAGCAGGCGTCCGCAGAAATTGTGGAGCTCCTCGTTGCCGGCCTTGTGGCCGCTCTCCCAGCCTGCTGCTGCCAAAGCCGCTACATGACCCAGGAGGCGGTGCTCGGCAAAGGGGACCCGCTGGCTGACATAGCTCCGCATGAGCCCGGGTTCGACCGAGCTGAGCCCCAATTCTGCCAGAGCATGCTCCTCCACGACCTTTGCGACTTTGCGAAGATTCTGCACCTGCTTCAGGAATGCTTCGCCGGCTAAGTGCCCCTTGATTCCTGAGCTAATCGGACCCGTTGCCCGAGCCTCCCAGTGCATCCTGAATGCTGTCCTGAGGCTTGCTGCCCCCTGCCAGTTTTGCAGAAGCACTGCGTTCTGCCGAAGCAAGGCCAGCAATAGCATCTCCATCGAGCTTCCAGGCCCAGATCCAGATCGGCAACCTCGGTCGGCCGGAGGCAGAGCTTCAAACTCGCTTTCCAGGTGCAGCGCAGCAGTTGGTGCCGGACGTTGGGCCTGTTCGACCCGGCCCGTTCAAGGAGGAGCTGTGCCCGCAAGGCGCCGCAAAGTCTCCCAGTCCTCCGGGCCCATCTGCCGGCCCCGATTGAAAAGACCAGCTGTCTGCCTCTCTGGCTGCGTTGGGCCTCCCCCATCGCTGCAAAGCGGCCTGGCCGCCCAGTTGCAACCTCCGCAATCTCTGGCACAGGCCCCTCTCCGAGCTCGTCGTCCTCCGGTGGTGGCTCCGCCGCAGAAATGTACTCTTGGGCCGTCTCGGGGTCCAAGTTGTCGATCCATGCATGGGCAGCTCGCAAAGCCTCCGAAGCTATGGCTCCAGCTAAGGCGCCCTCGACCTGAAGCACTGTAAGCCGCTGTGTTCCTCCTCCAGCGAGAGCTGCCCGAAGCGGGTGCGTCCGCACGAAATGCTCTAAAAGCGCACCTGGTCCCAATCGACGTCCTCGAACGGTTTCGCAAGGCAGCTCCACCTCCAAAGACAGGCTGAGGGGAACACCATCCGGAGTCACCAGCTCGGCCAGGGTAGCATGAACCAACTCGACGTCTGGCAAAGCTATCATAAACCCGTTCTCTCTGCACATCAGGGCATGCCCTGACACAAAGCGTGGGGCACCATCCTCGGCAGCGGTTGCGCGCAGATATATGGTCGGCAAGGGTCGGCCCTCCAGCACCTCGAACTCGCCCCGGGTCATAGCCCGCCTCATCCCTCCAGCATTGGCGGCCATCGCCGCCCCGCACCGGACAGATAGGAGTCGGTCTCGGCCTGGCTGGCGAAAGCGTGGCACAAAGCCTTCTTGTCAAGTCTCCCCCTTTGGCCCCCGAACGGCGGCAGCGAATACGCTATACTTGCGAGTCCAGCCTCCCTCCGGAATTTGGGGGTAGTGAGGATGATGTAGATGCAATTCTTCAGCCCTGGCAGAGTCGGCGAAGGCAAAGGACAATACAAAGACTGATCCTGGCACTGGCGAGCCGAAAGCCCCGCCCTGTAAGCCCGAGCCACACGAGCCTGAGCCGACCACTCTCCACACGAAGTCAGTGCACGAGCAAAGGGCTCCAGGTGAGGAAGGTCCAAGGCTTGAAGGGCACCAGGCGTAGTTGCGTCCAGCACAGCCTGATCCAAGGTTTGCTCCGCGGAGGCCTCGGATGGGGGCTCGACCACTTCGAACCCAAGATCAGGCTCTGTAGAGCCGCGAGCACGACGAACCTCAATCTCCAGCCCAGCCACACGAAGTGTGATGCTATCGATGTCCCGGTCCTCGGTGCTCATGCACGATGCCCTCGCCTGTACTCTGCCAGCCGTCCGCGGCCCAAGTCCTCAACCCCAGCTGGAATCCAGAAGTCAAAGATGGCAGCGCGGCCCAGAAGCAACAGAAAGCGCCGGAAAGGCTCGAAAGGAGCAAACAACTGATGAAAGCCCCGAAGCAGGCCCCGCAGATGAAGACCAGCAGTAGAGCCAGTATCAAAAGTCCCCAGGGGGTGCTAGGGCAAGGATGTTGATTCCAACCTGTCAGCAGTTGTCTAGCTTCAAAGAGCGCGGGCGCCACCCATTGGCCAAGCGGCATCAACCCCAAAATCTTGAGCAACATTCAGTTGCGCGAAAGCTTCAAGTCGTGAGATACTTGACATAGAATACTTCATAGAATAGCCC